GCCGGGCCGCCCAGGCAAACAAGGTGACCCGGACGGCCAAGCTAGTAGCCTAGGTAGAATTCCAGAGCAAACGACTTTTGGCTGAGGTCGCATCATAATTCCTCACAGAATCGGAGATGAAAAAGAAAATAACAGAATCACACGAAGGCACCCCCCTTTAAACCCCTTCAGCCCCTTAATAAACCAATTTATACCCCTTTTCCCCCCCTTGACAGCCAACTCTTAAAAAAAAAGGAAAGAGCCCGGATTTGGGTTCCTCTGGGAGCGTGCAGAAAACCAAAAAAAAAATTCTTAAAAAAGTATTTTTTTTTTGGCAATGTCCAGGTACCCCGGGCGTCATGCCCGGGTGCGCGGCTGGGTGTGACAATCTTCCGACGATGAGCTCAAATCTGTACGAAATTACGAATACAACAGATGATCTGAGGGGCTATCCCCCTCCTTTTGGGGGGAAAAGAAGGGTACAAGCCACAAAAACTACGGCCGCTCGCCCTAGCCAGCGACCGCCGAGCTGTTTGGGATCCTCAGAGACTTCACGCAACGCATCTCACTTGTTTCATTAATGAGACTGAAAGAAAGAAAGAAAGAAAGCTGCAAGCCACTCACTTTGCGTCTACTAATTATGCTGCTCAAGCTACTGCCGAGACTGTAGCGCGTGCTGCTTTTCCATTAGGAATTAAGTCAGCTGAAGTGAGAATCAAAGGTTTAGGTTATGGAAAGCCTTTGGCTTTACATGGTCCCACAGGCCGTTGTGAAATCTCCGCCAACGCGGCCTGTGTTTTACATATGATTTTCTTTGTTAACAGGAGAATCATACTGATCATGTAAAACAAAGACCCTTAATACAGGCGATCCTCAGTGCAACGAAGTTGCTTCTACCAAGAAAATTCGGGAACACCTTCAACTTCTTTGTCCGTGTGCCGGCCCGAAGTGTGGCGTCAAAGTTTCCATGGTACATGAAGATGGAAGGGAAACAGTAGTCTTGCCAAACTGGTGGACAGCCGTGTGCTTGGAAATCTTGCACGGACGGTTCGGAGGGATGCTTAGTCAGATTACACACACTGCTTACCCTATCTATTGGGTCGTTGGCTCGAATCCAACGTAGGGAGCTGTTCTGAGTTCAAATATACGGCCGACCGACATTCTATTCTAATCTAATTGAATTAGAGACGTTTGGGCAGTAAATTGTTATTAGTCCGTACTTTTCGCCCTGAAACTGGAAGTCCACCTTCGTGCATCTTCCTTCCTCCCTGTCTGTCTCTGACCACTCGATTGTGATCCTCCTCTCTGATGCCTGCTGGCTGACCCTTCGCCCATCTTCCTTCCTCCTGTTCTGAAGAATAACCGTGCCAGATGAGTGAGGCCTGCTGGCTGGTGCCCAGTATGCGCTTTGAACCCATCTCAATTTTTCCGTGATTCTGGTGGCTAGTTTCTGGTGCTGTTCGGACTCCGTCGGGTGCGTTTCCTGCTAGCATACGAAGTCCGGAGGGTCCGTTCCGTACCAGTTGGAATACTTCATTACGTTGTTCCACTTTTCTGGGTTCTCTAGAATCTTGACCATTCCGTTCACGTCCCATGAAACTATCTTCAGTTCTGGTCTGTACGAATCTTGTTGCCGCTGGATCCTCCTCCTCTCGCTTGTGTTTTGCCTCCCGATTGCTCCATCAGTGGATCACATTACCCCACCTGTTCCCTTTTCTTGAGGTGGGGATTCAGGATCCAACCAAGGCTAAGCCAATCCTCGTCGCTACCGCCACCACCTTCCTCTCCACATAGTCCTCCTTCCAGACAAAGCACTCGTTTGCTACCATAATTGCTGTGCTCTTTGCTACCCTCTCTGCTGCTACCTCTCCCCCCAGCGGGCCGTAGGGAATGACCTCTACTACCTGTCGTGGCATCCATATAAGGTCACCCTTCAGTTCTGCTTCCCCGTGGAGTTTGATAAGGATGGATCTGAAGTCCGCTATCTGCTTTGTGACGCTTGCATTCTTCCATTCCTCCTCCTTGCTTACGTCTCCCACTACATAGGCTCTTATCGGCATAACCTCTGAGATTCTTTCCTTCACGGCCTCCCCTCAGCACTGACTGTCCTCCACTGTTATGAGTGCTAACGACCGATGAATCGCCACCTCCCAGTCAGACAGAGCTTCATTCCATTTGCATGGGAGGATGGTTCTCCGTCTGGGTCCATCCATGGTGTCCAGCTTGGCCGCTGCCTTTCGCTATGTTCTGGAGGTTGACGGTGTGTTCCCCCAGCTCCAAGTTTCGATCCTTCAGCACGTTCACCTGAGCCTGAAGGATCGCCACTTGCCGCCTCAGATCCACGACTGTGTCTTCCTTGTCCTCATGTTCTTCCTCCTCTGTCTCTTGTCCTTTCTCCCTCGGGCTTTCTTCTTTCTTGCCCATCTGCGTTCTCCTCTTTCTGCTCTTCCTCTTTGTGTCTTTCGCACGGTATGACTTTGACCATCCCAAGTGCTTGGTGTATCCTTCGTCCTGCAC